GAATCAAATGTTCTGAGCGATGTCGAAATTTGAAAATGAATGGCCTTTTGATCTGGTTTTTGCTAGTGAATTGCTTGAACAGAATGACCGAAGTCACGAGTTTGAATCAATCGGAGCGGTTCCGGCGTAAAAGACTCACTCAATTGAATCGGTTTGTCCGTTCCTCCGCTTTTCGTGTCTTCAGTCATGTTTTCACGACACAGCACTACTACTGGCTCAGCTCGCTAGTTTTATGACATTAATAACTGAAATAAGTGAAAAAAGTATGATGTTTACAAATAAAACCAATATTTCCATTCCAAAGATAACATCCAACACGAAGATATTCAGGTGAGGTAACCAGTTTACTGCGAACTAGTGAAGCACTCCAAGCTGCAGCTCAAAATACATGTCAGATAAAATAAATATTTGAGAAATTCTTGTTTTATCTGATTGTATTAAGCCCTATTCGGACAGGACTAGTTTTACTACAAATACCATGGTGAAGCTATATGGCAAGTATAGCAAAACCATGGTTAATGTGTGATTACTTTAGTTTAACTTTGCAGTAAAACCATGTTTAATTTTCATAAAAGTGCATATGTAATTAAAACATTATGTAATTGAGAGCAGAAATGAACGTGAGTAACGTTAATCTTACCTGACGCTGATATTTCAGTAGCCAGTCTTAACAGTTTACGTGATTTTATTATGGTTATCTCATATTTCTTTGATAGTCGATGTAAAAAGAGCAGATGAACACAAAACAGCAGAACAACATAAAGAGGGTGAACTTTATCATTCAGCTGAACTCTGAACACGTCGGTTCTTATATGTTCTTACTCCACACATGTATTAAGCAGGTTTCTAGCGTATTTCTTTAACTTCTCAGGTAATATCAATGGTGTGGCCTATTTCAGATGCGGCCCAAATTACAACAACTGTGCTTACATACACATATATTTAATTGTTTGATAAAAATTATTGCTAGGGACAATTTAGCAGTGGCTGGATATTGGTAGAGACATGCCATAGCGTCTCTTCTAAATGCTATGCCTTTGATGAAGATCAAACTCTTTAATTGTGATTTTCTTACATAGTTGAGAAAGTTTCCAACGTCGAGAATGAGTTTGCAGAAACTGGGCAGCAGTGAACCTTTCCTGAGATCTGCGGGCGACACTCTTCACTGAGCTCAAAAATGTTATTTTTGGATGCTTTCATTAATTTTGCAAAAACATGAATTCTGTGTGCGCTAATAAATACTGTACATTAAACAAAAGCGTGTGCAAAGCATTAACAAATGCACTGATGTTTGCAAAATTTTGTGTCAACATTTTTTTCCCAGTATGTGAACTTTTAATTTGCAGAAAGTAAATTTCAACAAATAATAAACAAACAAAACACACAAAATAAAATACATAAAATAAACAAACAAAACAAATACAATACAAAAAACTAAAATAAAATATACAAAACAATAAAATACAGAAACACCACAAAACAAATGAAATAAACTAAAATATGAACAAAAACAAACAAACAAAAATAAAATACACAACAAATGAAACACAAATAAACAAATTAGCTAAATAAATAAATTGATAAAATACATAGAAAAACAAAAACAAAACAATAAACTAAATACAAAAAATAAAATACACAAACAAAACAAATAAAAAATAAATATACAAAACAAATAAAAAAATGAAAAACTATAAAATATATGAATAAAATAAACAAATAAAAATCAAATACACAAACAAATTAGCTAAATAAATAAATGGATAAAATAAACAGAAAAACAAAACAATAGATAAATTAATATATACAACAAAAAAAAAAAATTAAATACACAAACAATACATTAATAAATAAATTACATACAAAAACAAAAATAAATAAACAAAACAAATAAGACGCATAAACAAACTAATTAGCTAAATAATAAATTGATAAAATAAATAGAAAAACAAAAAAAAAACAATAGATTAATAAATACAAAAAAATAAAATAAATAAACAAAACAAAATAAAAAAAATAGAAAAACAAAAAAAAAACAATAGATTAATAAATACAAAAAAATAAAATAAATAAACAAAACAAATAAAATAAAAAACATTAAACAAACAAATAAATTCATGTTAAAAAGTGATCTCTCACATGTTGCACAAGAATCTCACAGAACGTTTCGAATCTTAAACTGCCCGTTACACTCTGCTCTGCTGAAGATCTTTAAGAGCAGAACAGTTTTAATCAGTGCACTCAACTCTCACAAGCCGTCTCCACCAGCTCCACCTTGGGCTTCAGGATCTCCAGCACACACAGCGTCTCCTCACACAGCAGCATGCATTCAATCCTCAGCTGGTAACTGATGACAGACCAATAACTGCCTCATGCACATATAGTGTTAGAAGAACAATGTGTGAATTTGGGTTTTAGTGACTCTTTACCAGGGTACAGCCAGCAGTGAGAGGTAAAAGTGGTCCACGTTGGCCAGTTTGTCCGGATCTCCTTGAAAGGATTTTAAGTTGTCAATCTGGAGAAGTTAAACGCAAAACACTCAACTGATCATAAACAGGACAGACTGCAGATTTACTCTGATGCACGTCAAAATGTGACCCTGGAGCACAAAAGCAGTGTTAAGTCGCTGGGGTATATTTGTAGCAATAGTCAACAATACATTGTATGGGTCAAAATTATACATTTTTCTTTTATGCCAAAAATCATTAGGATATTAAGTAAAGATCATGTTCCATGAAGATATTTTATAAGTTTCCTACCATAAATATATCAAAACTTAATTTTTGATTAGTAATATGCATTGCTAAGA